TGGTAGATGATGGAGAGAGGCTTGGCGAGCTCTTCCACCAGCTCCTCATCACCCTGGGGTGGATCCCCTCTGGTCCCATAGACTTGTGGGGATCCCATCTGGTCCCATAGACTTGTGGGGATCCAAGCAGCTCAGTAGGTCACTGACTGTTTCCTTCTGGATTACAGGGGGGCTGTTCAGATTCTTGTCTCTTTCTACAAGCTCCAGAAGCCAGCTGTCCTCAGGACAACCTGTGTTGCTGTTGAATAATAGGGGATAATTAATATAATAACAAATAATAGAACAAATAAATAGGGGATTAATAATATAACTGAAATAAATAGGGGATTAATAATATAACTAAAATTATATTTTATTTTAGGTCTGTAGCCCAAGCTCCCAGTGTTCTTGTACAAACCAATAAATTACCTCTTTATTTTATGTTGTGTTATTAATTTTATTTATGTTATTAATCACCTGTTTATTCTGTTTATAAATTACCCATTTATTAATGTCAGTGTGAGGTCAGGATGAAGAGTTCATACATCCAGGGTTGTGACAACAGGACTGGGCACCACTCAATCCTTCCCATGTTGGTGAGAGCACTTACTTTGGGGCAGAGTCTCTGTTGGAGCTGTTGAATGTGCAGCAGGTGATGCTGAATTAATGTGGAACAAGATGTGTTTGGCCTCACCCAGCTGTGAGGATCCTTTTTAGGATATTAGGATTTTTGCCAGCCAAACCAGACCACTTCTCACCCTGCTTTCTAGGAAAAAAACCCAAGAAATAACAATCCCATGAAATGCTGTGATTCTAATGAAAAGACTTTTTTTTCTTTTTAAGTGTTTCCAACCATCTCAGTTGCTTGACCCACTTTCTGAGCAACTGCACCCTCTAATGGGGTAAAACAGATTGGCTTTCAGAGCAGCCAATTTATTTTTGTATTGTTTATGTGTTTCTGGTCCTTAGAGGCTTCATACAACAGCCCATTCCTGTGACAGGGAAAGCAGCACACTTTTGCTGAGGGCAGATTACAGGGGAGGTGTGAATATCCAATAAAGGCTTTGTGTGATCCATCTTCACTCTGGGTTAATGGAAAGGAAGTAAACAGTTGTTTATATTCGTGGTGAAATGAGAAAGGAATTTTAATGAAATCATACAAAGGAGAATTTATTTCACTTCTAAGTCCAGAAAAATTATATGGGTGTTATTTTTTGTTTTTCTTACTGTGCAAAGCCATCTCATTTTACCAAAGCTTTGTGGGGAAGTAAAAGTTTGAACCATGAAAAGGAGATGAAGCAGACACTTAAATGTGATTTTGCATCTTGTCAAACAGGTAATTTTCTAATGGACCAATGAAAGCCAACGATGACAAGTTGTGGTCAACAGTCCCTGAATGTGCTGATGGTTCTGCTCTCCTTACTCTTGTCAGCAGGTAACTTTCTCTTTTACTGGTGTGTGCCACAGGGAAAAATAGTTGCAAATTAATATGGACTTCCTTCAAAACAGGATCAGATGGATTGCTAATTAAATAATAAATAAGCCACAGAATGGATTTGTGCAGAAATGTGTCAGCTTTTAGCTTGAGAATGAGTCAAGTGCTCTGATTATTTGTTGCATTTGTTCTTCAGAAGTTATTTATGACATTAAGGGTTTCTGTAACTATGAATGAATATTAGAAAAATAATTAAAAAGCTTCTTAGTCCAAATAGATTTGATCCTACAGGTTTTTAACTTGCAGTTCAGTGTCTTTTATCCTCCATTCTTGAAGCAGTTTTTAATCCAAAGGGATTTTTTTTGTATCACTGCTCTTTTTCCCCTTATACTACATCCCATCCCTGACCACCATACTTAAAACTTTACCAGGCATCATGTGCATTAAAGTATCCTTGTGTTCAGTGAAAATTGTTCCTGCTCTGTCTGTGTAAGGACTTTATTATCAGTTAGCTCAAGCATTTTGTTGCCCACTGCTTGTTTGCAGTGTCCAAGTTGATTCTTGCTAATGATGGTTTGTTATTTAGCTGTAAATGACACAGTCCTTTTGCTGACAGTGTTAGAATATTATCAACCACACTACTTCTCATCTGAAAACATTGTTCTCCTTCAGTCCTTGCAGTGAAAATCCCTTTGTATGGGGCTGCATCCCTAGTTCTGTATCTGCCCTCCTCCTCCTGTGGACTGGGATTGGGCACAGGGGTTGTAGCAGCTTCTTTGTTGTTTGCTAGGCTAAAATAATTTCAAAAATCTGTTTCTGTGGTGCCTGAATGAAGTAAATTACAAAGAACACTTCAATGAAGTGATCAAACGTCACAAAACTTTGCCAGCTGCTCCAGTCTCCTCTGTTGATTTTTAAGTTTTCATACCTTTGCCACTCTTTATAGGGGACTTCTGATAGAGACATCCTGAGATCCCACTTCTCCAGCCCTTTTCCTCAAGGTGATACAAACATTTACCTTTGTTCTATTTACCTGTGTTGAGGTTGAATGGGACACTGTAATAACACCATGTGTGCAAACAGATGTATTCAACCCCTGGTATAATACACCTTTATTCCCTCAAACCCAGACAATAAAGCCAGTGTTGTGATATATTTTTTTCCCCTTGGAAGAAAAGTATTGCCTCTGGGTAATAACGTATTGCATTCAATATGTTTATTTGAAACAAATTACATATAGCTTTTCTTACATAATTTATCTATTAACATTGATAACTATTGGCTTTCTAAATGTGTATCTTCCTGTTGCTCCTTGGCTGTAAGTGTTTTATTATCTGACATCCATTATGAGCATGTAGAGTAGAGGCTTAATTTGAAATCATCACAAGCCTTTCTTGGCAGCCAAACTCTGCTCCTTGGGGAATTTTGCTGCTGGCATCTGTAGGGGTGGGTTTAGGTCATTGCTAACTCACACACGTTTTACAGGAGGAAATTTATTGTCATTTTGCAGCCAGCCAATGGAATTTGGTTGGGGTTTTTTTTTTGCCCAAGACAGATCAGCTTCCATAAAAGAAAACCACTGGCTTTGTGCAGTGAGAATGGCAGGGGTCAAAAAAAGATGCTGCTTAAAAAAGGATGCTGCTCTCACTGGAGTGATATGAACATCATTTTTAACCTGAGCTGAAGTGAAAATCGAATGGCAAGGCTCCATTTGAGTTCCCCACATGAACAGACTGTAAATCCAAGTGTTTGGTATCCCAAGATTCACACTGAAATCTGTAGGAATGGCTGAAAACCCCACTTAGCAATTAGAAGCATAACTTTCACTGGCTCCACGAGTGGAACAGAAGTAAGGGCACAAGTGATAGAAAAGCCCCCTGAACAATGTTAGTACTTAGTCATTTAGTGCACTGAAACACATTTGTGAAATCAGGGATGACAGCAAGGCTTACAGGAACAAGCCAAAGACTGACAGGTTATTTTTATTTTGAAGTTGGAAATGAATGTCCACCCAGCAAATTAACATGTGGTAAAATGCACACACAGGAATATTTCTGTGGATCCAAGTGGAAAGCTGAGGAAGACCAGCCCTTCTCAAAGTCTCAGGGCTTGAAGAATTTAGTGGCTAAATTTAAAATGTGATCAGTGTTGCCCAGATGTGTAACTGTGAACAGAGAGGGAAGCAGCAGTTTGTTGTATTCTGGCTGTGTACCTTTAAGGCAGAGCAGATAAATCTTAAGATGAGCTTAAATCTTTGAAGCATGACAGACTATCCTCTGGAAATCAGTAGGAACAGAGATAGGAGCATCCATATCAGTTACCTGTTCAATAATAGTTCTTAAAAACAGTATTTGCACAGGAGAACTCCAGAAACAGACAATTTAAGAGCCTTTCAGGTACAATACTTTTAGCTGAAGTATTTTATAGAAATAAGGTTCTTTAATCCTCAGGATTTAAGCAAAGTTATTTTCAGGAAAAATACTTAAAAAAAAAAATCACACGTTGTTTATTGGCTTTCTGATTCACAGAGAAGCAAAGACAGCAGGTGAACTTACACAGATTAAAACTTGATAAAGTTCTTTCAGTGTGCACCAGGTACTTGCTGATGCTGCTGTGGGGTTTTTTCTTACTCATTTGCTAAATGACCCATGAGTTTTCTCACTTTCTGATTCCCTCACAGGGAGAGGGGGAGTGACAAGCAGCTGCCTACCAGGGTTAATCCACCACACACCGACTCCTGAGTTCAGAATGTAATTTAATCATCACATTACGCTCTTATTTGTGCATTTATTTTAATCACTGACACACATTTTACTATTTAAGGATGTGCCTAGGACTGCATCTTATTACAGACACCCCTCCTCCTGTGACCTGACGTTATCTTAATTCTCCCTTCAGTCTGTAATCACACTTCCCTCAGTTTTTATTCCCAGGGAAGTTTGGTTTCCTTTTTAAATGGGCAAAGGAACCATTCAGGGATCAGGGGACACTTCCACACTGTGCTCTTAAGTAAAACACTTTGCAGTGAAGAGCAAGCAAAACTTCTGAGTGGTAAAACCCAGTGACAGGACCAGAGGCCAATTTCACCTGGAACACAACATTTTCCCAGGCAGGGCAAAATATGTAATTGCTTTTCTCAACATCTGTGTTCCTTTAGAAACAGCACTGTCAGTTCCTGACTGAATTAATCTACAAACTGTTTCTTCTTTTGTTGAATGATGCCAGGTATGTGTGCACACACACACATATATATATATAAATATTAAATGCTTAAAGGGGATGCTTTTTGACTCAGATGGCACTACAAGTTACCTTGTTTCAGTTTAGCTTTTTGTTCTAGGCTCCCCCCCCTATACACAGAAATAAAAAAGTCATCTCCAGTGTCACAATCCTTAAAATGTATCTTGAAATTAATATATTTTATGAATTTGAGAAACAGAAGCATTAGGAATTTTTTAAAGCAATATAGGAAGAAATGAGGATTAGGCAGATAAGATGCAATTACAGATCAACAGGGACTGTGGGATACAGCACAGTTAAGCTAAATCCATGCAAGTCATTATCTGTAACCTCTTGTGCTGGTAAAACTGATGGATAAATCATACCCCAAATTACAAGGGTTAATTCTGTCAGTGTGAAGTGAATATCCTTTGCTAATTGGTGTGACCTTATGAGCTGCACTGCCCCCAGCACGGCTGGGACTCTGCTCTCTACTCAGGGTAAAAGCATTTCACTGCTAAGAGACTTCCACATTTCCTCAGAGTTTAACCCTTTGGGGTGTGTATATGGTAAATGTGCTATAAATGATGATATAAGGCCTAATGACACAGATTGTGAATGAGTTAAAATGTTGGCATAACGTGGAACCAAATATTGTCTCTTGAAAGATTCTTCACATCAACCAGGAGGTCTCATGTGGTTGCTTATGGAACTACATTTTGGAAAAGAAATGTATGGAGAGGTTTTTCCCCCCCATCAGTAAAAGCGATGGTGAAATCAGTGTGACACACTGCTGCAAAAAAAGTGTTCTCAGAGCTGTAATAAACTCTTTAATTGAGAACTTATTAAAGGAGAAATGTAAGAACTCTCAGGAACACCTATGAAGGTATTATTAGTAGTATTTTACAGGTATTATAGTATTTTAAAGGTACTATTATTACTTCTGTCTATTTGCAAATTGAGAGTTGTTCAGATTTGTTATGCTGTTTCTAATTACTGTTTCTGACAGACTAATCCTTATCAAAGAACGACCTTTACAATAGAGAAGATGCTTTCTGTCAGGACTGGTGACTGTAAACCAAGTGCCAGCAAACTTGTATTGCAGTTTCTATATAGACCTTTTTGTTTTTATTAAGTCATCCCAGGAGAATCAGACATGGACATCATGGAGTGTTATGGATACCCCTATATTTAGAACAGCAAAATGAAAATGTTTCCCTAAATATTTTTGTGCCTCTAAGCACAGAGGGCACTTCTCCTCTTCCCTTAAACAATAAGATTCAAAATACAAGAGCCTAAATATTGTGGTCTTTACTAAATGTTATGTACTAAATGTTACGATGCTGAAAGCTCTGAGGTATTAATGTTTTTCAGAAATCAAACCCCAGCTGTTTAAGCCTGAAAAACTGTTATTGATAGCACACAGCTGACACGAGTGACTCACAGAGCTGATGTTGTTCTTGGTTTTCCAGTGTTGTCTGCACATTTTCGGGTCTGCGAGCCCTACACGGACTACAAAGGTCGCTACCACTTTGGGTTCCACTGCCCCCGGCTCTCTGACAATAAATCCTACATCTTCTGCTGTCACCATAACAACACAGTGTTTAAATACTGCTGCAATGAGACAGAATTCCAAACTGTCATGCAGATGAACTTAACGGGGAGTGCAGATGGATACATGCACAAGTAAGTACATGAGTTTTACAGTTCTCCTCACCAAACTGGTCCTGGTCTAATCACGTGGTCTCAGGTGCATTTAATGATGGGAGCAGTCAGAGTAATTGAATTTACAGAAAAACATTACTAAGAGGTTTTTGCTTCCTTGAAAGAAAGGATATTTCAGCTTTGCCTGCCTTGCTTTGACGTGGGCTGTAAACATTGCAAGGAGAGCATATATGTAAAAGTTGCATATAAATGCAACAGATATAATGTTACATCTAAAACTTACCAAAGTCTCTTCCCTGACCCTAATTTGATCTGAACTATGTTTAAATGTACATCAGTAAAAATAAACCCCAAAGCTGTTCGTAGGGGAGAGAGAGGGAGTGAGTTGACATTTTCCATATCAGCCCAAGTGCACTATTTTGAATCTGTGATGTTTTGAGTATAAATCCCTTGTAACAAATGGCTGACCTTGGGGAACAGAATGTATTTGCTTATATACCAGCGTTGTGTGGTCTCCCTGCCTGTTACCTGGGATACTTCCATGTGCTGCTGGGGGCTGTCCTCCAAGATAAATGTCAGCACTCTTCTTTCCTGAAGAACTGGTAAGTAGAAGGTAGATTTTTGGTACTGATTAGGTATTTACAGGGACAAAACCTTCACTTGTAGTCTGTTCCCTGTTTGGTATTTGACATTCAGGCCAAGCTAATCTGCTGTGATTTCTTTTGGTGCAGAGGGCAGCTGTGATGTGGGGTAAACCCCCAGGTTAAATTCTCCTTTATCTGCTTTTCCCCTGCCATTTTACTCTGGTGTTCAGCTCCTCCAGGGCAAGGAAGGGGCAGATTAAAGACAACTGGAATGCCAGGCTGGGGATTTTTTGTTTACAACAGGGATTTTGGTGTTTTGCAGTGCAAAAGTCAGTCTGTGCATTGTCATTCCTTCCTGTGGAAGCAGGTGCAGGGCTCCTGGGAGACTGTGGTGTTGGAATACTGATGTAACAACAGGAGTTGTAGCTCCCTGTGTGCAGATCAGCCCAGTTTGGAGTCAGCAAACCATTATCATCCTTAGAAACCACGTAGTGGCAGACAGAGCCAAAACCTGCTGCATGCTCAGGGTGATAAAAAGAGCCTCAATCATCTCAGAGCTCGGGGTGTTACTGCCCAAGTGCAGCCCAGGCAAGTGGAAAGGCAGTACTTCAGGCTTTTCCCAATATCCCAGCAGCTACTCATGGGCAGAGCTTACTAAGGTAAGGCTCTTCTGCTCTGCCTTCCACCAGCAACCTGTAGTGTGGAGGGCATAGTGTTTTATATTAGTTTTCATTTAGATTTTTAAAAAAAACCACACAAAAAAACCCCCCAACTCATCTTACTCAGTTGAGATGGAGAAAGGTACCTCTGTATTATTTTTTTTTTTTAAGATTCATGGTTGAGAACCACCTGCAGAATATTTACCCTAAAAGTCTTCAGTCCAGAGTTTCCTGGGGACTTTTAGCTCCGTGTGATCTTTCACAGAGGCAGGTGAAATCATGTTAAATGTGATAAAAAGCTTCTGGAGATGTAGCTTAGACAAGTGCAGGAGTGAAACCAGTATTGCCCTTGTGTAAATCCCTGAAACCTCATTTTTGATGAATCTGTCAGGACCAGGAAAATGAAGAGCTGCTTCTTCCTACGTGAAACTTCACCACTGTAGTGAGACCCTGAGCTCAGTGGCATGGGTAGAAAACTTCCTGGTAGTTTTAGGAGGAGCAGAAAGGAGTGAATCCTACAGGCCTGCATTAAAAACACTGCAAGAAGCTTCTTACTTAACACACTGACTTTATTTAACAAGTGCAATAACTAAACTTTATTTGGATTCTAATACATCCAGGGTTCGGTTTACAGTGACAAAGTCAGCTCTTGTTTAGACCTAATTTCACACACCACTGAAAAAAAATCCTGATGAAACCTATTGTAGTGTAGCAGGGGAGAATTATTTGGGATATGGGAATAGCACTGAACTGAAAAAAAAAAAAGGATTATAGTTTGCAGGGAAGAGTGATTCAATATTATTGCTTGGTTTATTTCAATATTATTATTTGGTTTATTTTTCCCCTTAGCCATTCTTGTGATCATCAAAACAAATTTCTTGTTTTATAATACAGTTGAGGGAAGAAATTAGTGAAGTGACTTGTCATGGCACAGCTGCAAAGATATGTTTGTCTTCTGCAGTCACACAATACAACTAAAGCCACATTTATTTACAGTTTCCCATTACTATAACAAAAGATTTCTGTATTTTCTAAGTCTTTGCCATCATGCAGATTAATCTGTTTATAATACTTTTAATGTGAACAATTCTCTCAGCATTAAATACAGAAATACACATGATGTCTAACAGACAAGAAAAGTTCTGTGATGCCTTAAAACTGTCTAAGGAGTTGTTTAACTGTTCTTAAAAACATATTCATAATGTTTTTCATAATCTCTCAGATTTTCTATCATGGATGTTTTGGTGGATTCTCAGTAGTACTACTATTCTAGGGGTCCTTAATCTGATACTGGAACTGTGTTATGGAAGTATGTAATGTAGCCATGGTTTTCCCTTATCTTTTAGTCCAGAATAAAAAGGGGGGAAAAAATCCCATTTAAAGTGTACATGCAAAACCCACCCTGGTTTCCTCAATGCTAGAAGTACAAAGGTGTTTGGTAAGATATAAACTTGGATTTCTTTGGGGCAACACTCACTGTTACTACTGGGAGCAACAGCCTCATTTAAGGGGAACAGGGAAAGGAACCCTTTCCATGCCCATCTGCCCACATTTAAATTCTGCAGCTGTAGAATTCAGCTCACAGTTGTTTTGATTTGTTGGTTTGGTTTTCAAACCTGAGTTCCCACGTGAATTATTCTCTGCTAACGTGCTGCACATAAAACCCAAGAAAATCTACTAAAAAGACAGAGCCTGGTCATAACCAGCTCGTCATCTGCCTCAAAAAGTGAATTATTAGATGGAAGGAATCATATAGCTAAAAATAGTAATAAAAGGACCTGTGTTTTTATTTGTGTGTAGGGATTTTAGAGAACTCTATGCAGGATTCTGTAAATGGAATAGGAGGAGAGGGATGGCAAAAGTATTTCTTGTTCTCAGAGAGCCCAGTTCAAGGCTCCCTGAAGTCAGAGCAGATCTTTCCATTTGCACAAGTGGGCTCTGTATCGAGGTTAGTCCATGGATATTCTGTATATCATCTTATTTCTAGAAAAGGTGACTTAAAATAATGAGCCCCTAAGCTTTTCTGATGGGTCCACAAATTACCCTGTTTTTTTCTCTTCTGTGTATCTGGTCTTACTGTTATTCTCAATAAGGTTGTTTATTTTCTAATTAAGACATCTTCATTTGCAGGACAGTTTCAGTTTTTACTATAATTAGTAGCCATCAGCAAAATTAACATTTTCTACGTGTTAATGGTTTGAGAAACAGAAAAAACATCAAGGAATGGAATTTCCCTCTGTGTACTTAAACCTACTACATACTATTTTTGCCTGTGATTTTTCACAAGGCCCTTTTGATAGTGCTGTTGTCCCACTGTCTGTTATTTAAAATAAAGCAGCCTTTCATTTTTGGGCTTGTGAGAAACAGATGTTATTTAGGAGGAGCAGATGAATATGATTAATGAATTGTCACTTTAAATCAGAACACTCAAAATACCTCTGACTTCTCACTAATCAAAATTTTGATGATTGAAATTAAATACCTAAAACACACCAAAAAAATCATTTTGAGTTAAGAAATGTTCCTGCCTCTCAAATTGTTGCCAAGAAAAAAAAACAAAACAAAAGTTTTCTAGTATTTCCATTCTTACTATGGATCAAATGCAGTTGAGGCAAAGACTTTGGAGTTAAGGGTTTTCAGAAGCTTTATATTTTGTCTCCTTCCAATCCTCCTGGAAATTTACTGCCTTTTTTAAAATTCTTATATTTTAATGCTTTATTTTTTTTTTTTAATTTTTTTTTAATTCTAGTCTTGTATGGTCCTAAAGTTAGACAGGAAGGGATCCATTAACAGCTCCTTCCTCTTGTTACTTACATTCCATTTGCTATGGAACTTTATTTAAAGGTGTTACATCTGTGTGGTGGAAAAATCATTCCCTGGAGGGAAGAATCAACCTCCTTAAGTGCTGACAGACACAGAAATTAAAATTCTGATTTCTTACCTGATTTCTCATTTCAAATCCTGATTTTTTTCAATTTTTTTTTTAAAGCATACAATGAAAGTCACTGAAATGGAAGTGAAAGTTTTTAAAGCAGAGGCTTGAAATGTTTTGATCCAAAAAGTCTGGGGACATGTTTTTTAAAATGTCAAAATCTCTCTCTGGCTTGCATCTATAATATCCTCAGCCTTTTTTCCTCTTGTGTTTTGATCAATGTTCTGATAAAATACATTTCCCTCGGAGTTTCTCTGAGTAGGGAGAAGTTTCTCTTTATTCATGTGAGTTCAGGTCCATGGAGATTGTGGGGTGTCCACCTGTTACTCTGATATAATTTGTCTCTAAGGCTGTCCTCCTAAGGGCATTTTTTACTGATGTCCCTTCAGGTTCCTCTTGTTTTACAGTCTCTGGTACAGGTACTTCCACATTAGCTCATGGGTCTCAATTAGCCTTTTTTTGCTTTATACTTTGTACTTTTTTTTTTAATCAAGCTCATTCTTACCCAGATTTTCCCTCCTCTCTTCTGACCTCATCCTCCCCACACACAGTTTCCAGTCCAAACTGCATTTACACCTGACAGTCACTTTTCTTTTAATAATACTCCATCTCCAGCACAGCTTTAGCAATTCTTCCCCTTTTTGATCTCCAAATTCTTGACCCCTCATACCTTTTCCTCCTGTTTCCCCCCCCTTTCTCTTAATATCTTTAATCACCTGTCAGAGCTTTACAGCTCCATGTCAGCAGCTGATCATTTTCATGGCCTTTATCTAAAAATACACTTTATATATTTCAGTGTAGTACATATTTTCCTATGAAATGAAGTGTGTAATGTGATCTCATCAATGTTCTCCAGCCCTAAATTTATTACCAGGAAACTGAGGGTCTTTAGCAGCCCCTCTGGAAATCCTACACTTCTACTGTTATCTTCTTTATCCAGTAGTAATTATTATTATAC